GCACGCGGTCGCCATCGTGGAAGGCGAGTAGCACCGACAGCACCCAAGCGTTTCGTGATCTCCTTCATACTCCTCTGCCAAGTCAAGGGTTGGCCACCCCTTTGTTTACGCCACTCTGATTCCGTTTCCCTTGTTTAGATTTAGAAAACCTAGCCGTGTCTCAGACCTGGTGCCATGTTTGATTTGCACGGGAGCCACTCACCGAAAAGGTGCTACAGCTAAACGGTTACTATTTTAATTTGTTTATGCTGTTTATGTTCACTAGCTTTTCGTAACAAGACATGCGACGTACATATGTGGCGCTCTCGCATTTAGTTCCACGTGGCCATGGAAGCCATCTTTCAGGTGATGTTTCCTGCTCAAGGTCAACTTTCACGAAACAACGCAATCCAGCAATTAGATCATCGTAAACAGAAGTTAGTTTCATATTAACCAAGTTGATGTGTGTTTAAAGTTCGGGACAAAAGTGAACTTGGCATCATTCGTTTTGCAGGAAACTTTAGAAGAAAACGGTAGCGGACCGCATGTGGGGAGGAAGAGTAGGAAATGGCAGTCAGATATTTTAGGTGACTACCCAGCCCATGTGCTCTGATGGAAGTTATTCCTTCAGTCTGCGGTAATGGCGATTCATTGTTTTCTGACCGAGAAACAGCGCATTTTATGCTTATCTGTCAGCATATAGGTTACTATCAGTCGTTCACGAAGTCACCTTAAGGATATCATTTGTTTCTGAAAAGTTTGCTCTGTTAAAAAGAACGCAAATTGCAAACCCACACCAGACTGTCCAAGATGAGCTACTTGGCGATATTTCCCGTGCGTCGCCATGCCAGTAACTGCATGCAAAGTCATACATCCCTCGCACCACAAATTTTTAGTACTCGCATATTTTTGCACATGCAAGATTGTAGAATGTGGGCTGTGTAAACATTCCCATGGCCCTCTGAAAGAGTAGCTACACGATACATTTTTGACGTTGAGCCAGCACAGTTTGAGAACCCCACCAACACAATTCTAGAGCAAAAGAAAGGTAAGAGAACATGAGTCAGCTAGTCTACCGGCCAGCCTCGAAGAAGGCCACATTAATCGAGAGGGTCTAAGTGAAAGGAAGAAGGGCTTTGCTGTGAAGTTGTTTATTACAACGCACCAACTGAACAGCTACGGACTATTGGACAGGGAAGCGAAACTCTCCTAAGCATCTCGTTTACAAAAACTGAATATCCATACTCTCCTTGAACGCGTCTTACTGAATTTTCCCGGATATCCATTGACTGTTATTCAAATGCAAGCAGATGCTACAAAGGGACTCCACAAATTCCGTAATAGGTCTCACATCCCAAGAGACGCGAAGCGGATTTACGAGAGAGTGTACTACTCATACTATATATTCATACTATATACTATATACTCATACTATATACTACTCGTACTACACTAAGACTGCATATGTTCCCTCAAGCGCCACCGAGCTCCCGGTGCGGATGACCTTCCACCTGCACTGTTCAAAGACGGGGGTGAAGTCCTCAGTCAACGCTTGTCCGATCTGTTTGCTTGCATTTGGGAAAAGGAGTCTGTCCCAGACAACTGGGGAGAATCGGTGATAGTACCCATTTTCAAAAAAGGGGCGCGTAGTGAGTGTGGTAACCACAGGGGGATGAGCCTGACCCTGGTTGTAACGAGACTGTTGGCGTCAATTGTGCTTCGT